GCCTGTACTTATCTAAAGTACTTGTCTAAAGACATGCACAGGGATGTACAACCCAAATGCAGACTATCTACATTCAGGTTTGTACATCTGAGTGCATTCACCTGATAATGCAAGTGTGAAGGAATATGGATCATATCAAGAAAATGTCCTTTTCTATGTTTTGAATTTGTTTCATTTGCTTCCTAGCTTTGTGATTTTCCTTACTCAGCTTCTAGCTTTGCTATGCGTATTCGGGAGCGCGCCGAGGATACATGAAAGGAATGACGAGGGAGGATGCTACAGGCAGAAGATATCTTTGACTAACCAATTAGCGAGAGAAACAAGACTTTAACTAACAGCTCCTCTAGTTTGCCCAATAGTACAAGACATTTAGAGATAACAGATGTGGGCATATGTGTGACGAACACTCTCCTGTTATCTGTGTATAAAGGAGAGAGACCGCCCTGAATAAAATTAGAGCTTTCATAGACCGTTAACTTCTGAGTTTGTGATTTCTCCGGTGCACCGAACACAACATAATTAGAAACAGCAGCAGACATCTTGTGTGAACCCAGTTGTGGTTCAGATCCATTTCACCAGGCGCCCAATGTGGGGCCCTGGGTTCCGATCCAAGAGCAGCCGTGACATGCGGACGGGGGCGGAGGACCAGACAGACCAAGGGGGCTTGCGCAACCCTGAGAGTATGGTAGGCATATTTCAATATCTCACCACTGTACTACCTGTTTCTGTCTGATCCACTGTCACGTCTACTTGGCTGTTCGAGGACGGCAAAAGGCAGGTAAACTTTTCCTTGCCCAGGGCTGTTTTGCTAAGAACCTGCATAAGAGATTTCTGCTGGCTGTGTGTGTTGTTATTTGTTTGTGTGTTTTGCGGCTCTGGATCGAGGCTGAGCCGAGCTAAAAGAATTGGCTACAGGATGGTGATCCTGGCTTGGTGAAGTGTTTTGCGGCTCTGGACCGAGGCTGAGCCGAGCTAAAAGACCAGGGGTTGTCCTCATCTTGGTGCGTAGTTACGCCCCAGAAAAGAAAGAACCCAGTAGTGGGTGTCTACGGACAAACATCCGGGGTGATGTGTCGGTCCCCCCGAATCAATCTTAGTCGGTCAGCCAGTGGTTCAGTTCCGCGCTGTTACGCCCCAAGAAAGAGGAACCCTGTAGTGGGCGTCTACGGACGGAAATCCGGGGTGACGTGTCGGTCCCCCCGAGGTGAACTTAGTCGGTCAGCCAGTGGTTCAGTTCCACGCTGTAATGTCATGTCCTAAATGTGTTTGTGGGTTAATGTTCAATGTGGATGAAACGAATTGGGGATTAGTGAAAGTAGTAGAAGGGGGGTATCCCCCCCCCCCACATAAACTTGGCCATCAGCCTGTTGTCCCAGCGATTCCTGACATCTTGGTGCTAAGGGTTAATGTCCACTACCCAGTGAGAGAGAGTTTCGGCAAAACTCTCTTTGAAATAGAGCAAGCGGAAGGGAGGAGGGAGCTGAAGCAGTGAGAAAAGCAGTTGGCAAAAGTATGTAACTTAAAACATGATATTGTCCGTCTCCAGCCAGAGTTCTGGCGCACCCTGATAGGGGAACATCGAGGGAAGTTAAATGATAAGGGTTTGATGAAAATAGCTGAAGCCTGGTTTTGTACAGCAAAGGCTCTGCACAAAGAGGGATGGGTAGAAGAAACAGTTAAACAAAATGATGAAATTATGTATGTGTATCACAGAGCTGATAATGTGTTTGAGCGTCCGCCCTATCATGGCGGCACCTGGACAGACAACTATTCCAAACCGCACCCTTCGTCTAACGCCCCATCATCCGTGGCTCCTCCCTCCCAGGTCATTATGATGACTACCGGCCCTGGTGGCTTAACCACGCCCACCCCTATGACACCCTCCGGTGGTGGCCATCTTGGTATACCTTTCATGTCACTTCCTGCCCAGCTCAGTGTACTTCCGCCTCCTTCTGGTGGCGGCCATCTTGGTGCCCCAAATCAGGCAGCATCCGGAAGGCATATTAACCCCATGTACCCAGTCCTCCCAAGGAGTGACCCTTCCAAGGAAACCTCAATACCCACTCAAACTGGCCCAGTCGGCGGCAATATCCACCCATGTGGCAGCACTGGTGAAAAGTGGGGCCCTGGTACCCTGCTTCTCCCCATGCAACACACCCCTCTTACCAGTCAAGAAGAAGACCCCAAAGGGTGAACCAGAGAGATACAGGATGGTGCAGGATTTGAGGGCAGTGAATGAAGCTACAGTGCATGCCAAACCCACACACCCTGCTCTCGGGTATCCCGCCCTCCGCCAAGTTCTTTACAGTGATTGATTTGGCAAATGCCTTCTTCAGTGTGCCCCTGGACTACAACAGTCAGTACCTGTTTGCCTTCACACATGAGGGCCAACAATATACCTGGACAGTGATGGCACAGGGATCCCAGAACTCCCCTAGTCAGTTTGCACATGCTATGTCTAGGATCCTGAGCACGTGGCAAGACCTCCACCCGGAAGTGACCCTGCTCCAGTATGTGGATGACCTGCTCTTATGTGCTGACACCCTGTCCCTGGCTGAAGAAACTGCGGAGAGTCTGCTTACATATCTGGCTAAAAAGGGGTGTAAAGCTTCCAAAGACAAACTTCAATGGTGCTCTGAGAAGGTTATATTCCTGGGCCATTGCATCTCTCAAGGCACCCGCCATATCACTGAAGACCGAATCATGGTGCTCCAGAATATTCCATTGCCCAAGGTTGCCAAACAATTACATGCCTTCCTTGGTCTCATTTCCTATTGCAGATCATGGATTCCTGATGCCTCCATCCTCATGCAACCTTTATACGACGACCTCAAATCCATCCCATTCAGCCTGACTGACGAATCCGTGGAAAACTTCATGCTGCTTAAACGAGCAATCTCCACAGCACCAGCTTTGGGCCTACCGGATTATAATAAACCATTCAAACTCTTCGTGTCAGAAAGACAAGGACATGCATCAGGGGTCCTCGCACAGGCTCATGGGGGCAAGACTAGACCAATAGGATACTGCTCCTGCCGGTTGGACCCAGTGGCCAGAGGGGGTCCTGCCTGTTTGAAGGCTGTATTTGCAGCACAGGCGCTGCTGGACAAGACATCTGATTTACCGTAGTGTTAGCGCATCCACTCCTTCTGCTGGCACCGCACAATATTGCTGCCATCCTTAACCAGACCCAACCAAAACACATCCTCTGCCAGACATCTGAGACTACAGATATCTCTGCTGATCCCAGACAATGTCACCCTCCAGCGCTGCACCACTCTGAACCCTGCTACGCTTCTCCCACTTTCAAGGGGGGAAGCACAAGAGGAGGCAACTGAGGAAGAAGAAGGTTCGGAACAAGGACATGAGGAGGGAACTGAGGAAGAAGCACAGTAAGGTTCGGAACAGGGACATGACTGCTTGGAAGTCATGCGCACTGAAACCACACACCTCCCCACAGTGAGTGATACACGCCTGGTTGAACCTGACCTTACCCTCTTTGTTGACGGTTCCAGACATGTGGACGATCTGGGTAAGGATCACACAGGCTGTGCAGTGACAACCGTGGATCAGATCCTACAGGCGGATCCCCTGCCGCCTACCATGTCTGCCCAGGAAGCAGAACTTCAAGCCCTCACTGCTGCGTGCAAACTGGCAGAGGGGAAAAGAGCGAACATCTACACAGACTCCAGATATGCCTTTGGGGTGGCACATGACTTTGGAATCATCTGGAAGATGTGAGGCTTCCTAACGGCCGCTGGAACACCGGTGAAACATGGGCCAGCCATTGAGGAATTGATGGAAGCTTTGCTCCTGCCCGAACAGGTGGCTATTCTAAAGGTCAAAGCACATGGGAAGCTAGATTCCGAAGAAGCCCGAGACAATCACCTCGCGGACACCGCAGCAAAACAAGCTGCAAGGAAACAGCTGAAAGTGGATGAAGAAGTAGCAGAAACAGTCCTGAGCGTCCATATACCAACAGATGAGGCCTACCTAATCTCAATGCAGAAAGGAGTACATACAGAAGAGAGTCTGAGCTGGGGTAACAAAGGAGCAGTCTACGAGAATGAACTGTACAAAGCGAGAGGGAAAGTCTGTTTACCCAATACATGTACCCAGCAGTGGTGCAATGGGCCCATGGAAGTGGACACCTGTCAAAGAACTTGATGAACTCACTCATCAGCAAGTACTACTGGGCCCCTGGAATAACTACAGCGACCAAGAACTACTGCAATTCATGCACAATATGCGCCAAATGCAACCCAGGGAGGATGGAGAAAGCACCACAAAAACACCTGGCCAAACCTCTGTACCCATTTCAAAGAATACAAATAGACCATATCCAGATGCCAAAAAGTGGCCGATATGAGTATGCCTTGGTGATTGTGGACATGTTTTCAGGGTGGCCAGAGGCCTACCCTGTAACTAACATGACAGCAAGGACCACAGCAAAGAAACTCCTGTCTGAGGTAGTGTGTAGATACGGGGTTCCAAAGAAATATGGGCTGCCCTGGGGACCACCTTAGCCTACCACACACCATACCATCCTCAGAGTAGTGGAAATATTGTTTGGTTCATCCCCAGACTTGGTTGTTATTTTCCACAACAGTTACAGTTGCAATCTGATGTGTTAACAAATTATGTGACTGCATTATCACGTGAATTAACCCGTGTCCATGCACAAGTGTTTTCTTCCATTCCAGATCCTGAGTCAGATACCGGGACTCACAGCTTGCTACCTGGAGATTGGGTGTTAGTAAAGAAATTTGCCCCTAAGTCCCAGCCCCTAAGGATAGGGCATCGTCTACACCATGATGTCCATGATATATTACCTTCTTCTGATGGGGTTGGTGGGAGCTCAACAAGTAGCCATCACACGAAATGACAAGTCACAGACCACGTTCTGGTACCACTCATCCATCACACATGTAGCCACATTACCCACATGTATACATAGATGCCATAGGAGTCCCAAGGGGGGTCCCAGACGAGTTCAAGGCTCAAGACCAGGTAAAAGCAGGTTTTGAGTCCTTGATTCCCATAATTACTGTCAACAAGAATGTAGACTGGATAAATACATATATTACAACCAGCAGCGGTTCATGAATTATACCAGAGATGCCCTGCAGGGAATTGCTGACCAATTAGGCCCCACCTCTTACATGACATTCCAAAACAGGATGGCCTTAGACATGATTCTAGCGGAGAAGGGGGGTGTATGCAAAATGATTAAAGACACGGGAACCTGCTGCACGTACATCCCAGACAACACCGGCCCAAATGGTAAAGTTACCCTAGCCATTAAGAAGCTA